ATACTGTTATAATGATAATAATGTTATAGTAATGTTATTAATAGTTATAGTAATGTTTTTCTCTAATAAACGCACATGACCAAGGGTAATCAGGAATGATTGCTAATTCTTCAAGTCCAGTTCCTTGCTATCTTTGGCAGGTGTATTGCATCACCCCATAGAACCTGACTCATAAGCAGCTCTTTAAGGGCTATCAAACAGTCATGGGTGTTGCAGATGAGTGCTTTTGTTGTCACATTTGTGTTCATGTGTGTTGCAGGAAAGAGCAGACTAATGAAATGACCAAAGATGCGAAAGCCTGCCTCTTAGAGCCTGTATTAGTGTGGTGTATAAGTATTGCTTCTTCAGTCTGTAAGTAGGTGTAAAAAAACGAAGCACAAGTTCAAAGCCATGACACGTTCTGTTATGTCAGTTTTATCAGTAGACACAGCATTGCAGTTTCATGGCTCCTTTTTTTGGGAGAAGACATTCTTGTACTGCATTGGAGGAAGAATAAATTCCTGATTTAAATTTCAGTCTCAAAGCAATGCCTGTTGTTTGTGAAGAAACTGAAAGCTTCAGGAGCCAGTGTAGTGTTCTTAACAGCTTTTGAGCAATGTGAGTACAGTAAAGATGGAGACCTTTTTCTTGCTCTTATTCTCAATTCTGCATGGGTATCACAGGCTCTGATAAGCTTAATTGACATAGGCAATCCTTTTTCATAATAATAAACAAGCAGGTCGTTCCCAGATTAAACTTTAGTCTGAATAGTACTGTACTGAATAACCATTGTGCAGCTTTTGGCTTTTCTTCTCACTCTCTCCCTAGAGGTATAACAGCATGAAAAAATTCCCGTGCTCTGTTTTAGTAATGCAGTGTTTTGGTGGATTTATTTTAACTTAAGTATTGTTTAAGTTAGTTGAGCCAGGTGAAAGAAACACATTTTACTCACAATATTTTTGATAGTCTTTGTTCCTGCAGGAATTTCTTTCCCAATCTTCCTTAAGCCCTGAACAAATCTTTCTTTCATGCAATAGAATTTCTGGGCTTGCCCATCAGTACCGTCAAACTTGTAGGGGGTCTGGCCCTGAGCCTCTTAGCATCTATAACAGCCTTTAAATATGTAAAAGAGAGAATTAAATGTTCTGTTCACTGTTTTCCATGAGTACAGGAAGGAAAAAAAAGTATTGTTGCAGCATAAAAGACTTCAGTTTGGCATCAGTCAGGTGCTTATATATGGGATGGGGTTGCCTGAAAAGACTACAGGATCTCTTTCAACTCTAGATTTTTAAGGACAAACAAATATCTGTTGGAATTAATATTTGTACAAATTAACTATGTATATGGATAGACGGACTGCATAAGTTTTAGAGATCCCTGTATTCGTAATTAAGTGTTGAAGACTGAAAGCTTGCATGCTGGGGCATTTACTGGAGGAAACAGAAGGACAGGTCTCATAAGCTCAGAGGGATCCCAATTGCCAAGGGGATGTGCAACAAGACAGCACCAAACAGTCTGCCCAAGCCCACTGACACAGGGGTCTGAGGAGCAGCCTAGCAGGTCCCTTCTAGTGTGTCAGTGGTGTGAGCGCTTTGATTTTGGATTCTTTCATGATGCCTGCTATTCCTTGCACGTAGATGCACACAGAGGATGGTATAATAGATCAGGGATATGGTCTACCCTAATCTGTTTCAATTGGGAAAAGGTTATTTGAAAATGGTCAGCATTATGGCTAAGTGTGTGAAAATAAAGACTTATTACCGTTGTGAAAAGATAGGCTCAGAAGGCTGGTTTGATGCAAGTAGCTGTTTTTTCTTCTTTCTTTTCTAGTATAAATATGAATTTTAGTATAAACAATTTCCAAACATTAATTTATAATGTAATATGTGCAATGACAAACCCACCACTCAGCAGGAGTAAGTTCAACATGAACTGTGAAACTTTTTAAAATCTTCTTTACTCTCTTTAATTTTTTTTTACTTGCCTTTACTTGACCCTTCAGACCTGTGGCTGAAAACGTAGAGTTAGGAGGATGACAAATTTGGAATCTTTGCTTTATGTTATTTACTATTTTGCGCTGTTTTTGAGTTCAAAGAGAAACTACTGTCATCACAGGGGGTTTTTTGAATTTTGATTTAAAAGGTTCCCTATGCTATTTGTAACCATACAGTTAAGCTGGTATTTAAGAAAAAGTGAGACAATTAATTCATTATACTTGTCAAAGACAACTGCATAATATAAAGGATCTATGAAATAAGAGCAGTAAAATAGGTTTGTGTGGTTCTGTCTTTATTTTAGTGCTGGTAGAATAGCAGTGTTCTTACTAATGGTACTAAGCTTGTGCTGCTTGCAGTGAGCAGTACTCACAAAATGCAGAGCTTGACAAGCTGTATCCATGAAAGAACAGGGATTTAAACTTAATACAATTTTCAGCTATGACACAGAAGTCAAGAAACCTTGAATGTGTTCCCCAAAATTATGTGGAATGGAAATTAAAGTTGGATTAGGAGGATCCATTCAGAATTATTTTAACTTCCCCTTTCCATAGTGCTTTAACATGAGCACCTAGAAATTGCTGCCATAGGATTTCCTGGTATTTAACTTTAAGCATCTGTTGCAGGTGCCCATTTTCCCCCACAGCCCCTCCTCCTTGTGATACCATGTTATTGTTGGTTCTCTGTAGGTTTTATATTGATTTGGCCTTCAAGCTTTAAGCAGGCTGAGAGGTTTCTAGAGGTGTGTTGTGACTTACAACACTGTGGCCACCTTTCAGTGAAGCATCTCCTGCTGTCTCTGTGAGTACTGGCCCAGCCTCGGAGGCTGATGCGGTCCCTGCTGGTCCAGTGATCCCACTACTCTCTGTGGTTGTTGCGCAGCTTGCATGGAAGCATAACAAGAAGATGGGAGTTACTCTCTGGAGCAATAGCATGAAGTCTTTCACACAGTGTGGCAGCTAGGATGCTTGTGCTACAAATTTATCCAGAGTAACTCAAAATTAGTCCCAGGATGTAGAATGGCAGCATTTAGCCTGACTTGGGAGGAAAAAGAGCCCTGTGCTTGTGAGCCGTGCTGGGTCACATCCTGTGCTCCTGGGGATTAGAAAACAAGCCCAGGCTCTTTTTGGTTTGCTGGTTATGGGAGTAGCTGTGCTGTCTTGCTGCCATGGGATACGTTCAGCGCGTGGAGGAACCTGCATCAAAGAGTTTCTGTGAATGCACTTTGCAGTACTACAGAAACCTGCATGAGACAGGTTGGTCTCCTAATGGTCATCCTAACAGCAGTCTGAAGTGTCCTGATGAAGAAATGGCATAGAGCCGTGTCCCAGACCTGAATACCTACTTTTCTTCAGCACTTCTTAGTTTTTCTTGCTAGTAGTATGAGGCAATGAGAGTGTTTAACAATTTTTTCCTAAGTCCCACTGTGCAGCCTTAGTTCTGGACATCCAGGTGCAGTAATTTACAATTCTTTTCAAATGTTGCCATGATTCTACTTAGCAGCAGGAAAAAAAAAACCTTCCAAATTTTCTTTCATGAGTTGTCTTTGTTATGGCTGAAGAACATTTTTTTATGCTGCATTCTGGTAAGATTTTAGTTAATATAATAGAAATACGGATTTAAATATATATTTGAAATGTATAAAAGTGTCTAATATGCATTGCATTTAAGACATGCTTATAACCTGAACCACACATTTGGTATTACTGTTAAAAGCTATATTTGTCACTAAATTTTGGATTAGATTTTCCTGTTTGTCTGAAGAAGTTGTTTGCTGTGTTTTGTATTTTCACAGACTGAAATAAAATCTTTATATCTTATTTATTCTGAAATGAAACATGAGCATGTTTCTCCTGAGAAGTGCACTAGCTGGAAAGTATTGGAATTTTTTAATTTAAAATAAAAGTTAGACCTTTTCTTTAGGTGTATGGGTAAATATTCTTATTACTCTGAAACTTATTGTCTCTTAAACAAAAATCAGGAACAATGGAAATACTGTGAAATTTGTTATCAGCTGCAAGCGTAATGTTTTTTCCTTTCCCTTACATTTTTCATGCTTTCCTGCTTTCCCATTCCTTTATGAGGCCTTTTCCTCCATGTGACATTTTAATTATGGAGCAATAATGAAAATTAAGAAAATTACTATTGCAACAGAAGTTAGACATTGATGTTTTTATATATATGGATGTGGTCTTGTTTAAATTTACTTCAGCAGGAAAAAACACAGTATATTTGTTTGAACATTTGGTTTCAGAATAGAATATACTTTATGTTTATGCAGCTATGTAAATTGTATGCCAAGAGACTGTCTTTAGGAGGTTTCACATTTATCTAGGGTGCTACCAGGTGCATCTGATTTATTACTGCAAGATTGCATAAGGTAGTGCTATGCCGTGTTTTAATATTTAATCTGAGATGTGGAAGGCATTGCCTATTGTAGTGGGCAACAGTCTTCCATTGTTTCCTTGAATCCCATTTATCATCTGTGAATTTGTGTTCATTATATTATAGATATTGTGGGGCAAGGACTTCCCAAAGTGTCTGGCTGCGACAGTCATAATGACAATGTCGGGTACTTTTTGTAGCGATAAGAAAAAAAAACTGCTCTTCAGTCTTCTTGCAACGACATGTTTTATTTCAACCAAACACAACAAAACTTTTAAGTGCCATCCCGAGTGTGTACTTTACCTGTGAGCCACAATCAGAAAATACGTTGTTAATGTAGGAGTCATTATTTTAATGCGTAATGCTTTCCTTGTGGTACAAACAGAAAGCAGTTTAAATTATGAATATTATTTGTGATATGAATTATTAAACAGCGTCTGAGAGATTTCAAATACATCTCAAGGTGATACATGAAGGACAGTTTTGAGAGTGTTTTCATCTTGAGGTGTGTTTCATGTTGACAGCTATTGCAGTAAGGTCTTCAAAGAAATTTAGATCTTACATAAAAGTTTCAGAGTTGCAAGTGGTTGACTAGAATGTGCTCATGGCACTAAAACTTTTTTTAATCTTAATCTCTTTCAGTCCCAGCAAAGATGCATTGTGATCTTTGCACTGGTATGCTGCTTTGCAATTCTGGTTGCACTGATATTTTCGGCAGTGGATATTATGGGAGAAGATGAGGATGGACTCTCAGAAAAGAACTGTCAAAATAACTGTCGGTAAGAGGTAACAAACAAAACTTCTCTTTTGGGGTGGAAAGGAACATATGTGTGTTATATAAGGTCATGAAGTAATTGCTATGATCCTGTGGTGTTATTGGGAAGAGCGCCTAACAGGAAGAAATGGTTTCTCATTTTGGAGGTTAGTTAAACAAAGCACACTTTTTGACGTTATTTTTTGTGGTGTGTTTTGAGCAAGACCCTTATGTTAGATCAATTATTTTGAAAGCCTGAGCCAAAGCCCATTATGTTTCAGTATTTAAGTACTGAGGTGGATCACATAGTTCCCAATTCTTTCATGTCTATTTCTCATCAAGACTGCCTCTTTCTTTCTTTCCCCAGAAAGGTCACTGATGCCTTTTGACCTAAGATTGCTGTCCCTTCTGTGTAGGAGGAGCTTTTCTATTTCCTGTTTGATGCATTCCTGTTATAGACACAGTGGCTTACCTATGAACTGTAAAGGCAACTAGTGATATTATCAGAAAGATGAGTGTTGAAAGTGTTGAATTAAGATTTGCCTCAGACACCTGCCATGGCTGTGTATATCTTTTAACTCTTGGTCCTGTTAGTTTTAAGTAGGTGATTAGTTTTTTGGACCTTTCATTTCCTGACTGTGAATTTCATTTTGCTGCTCCTCACTGTCAGCTTCCTCCATTAATCAGTTCATTAGTGATGACCAGTGCTTTTCCTGGGTCATCTTCTGGGCCTCTTCTGTCCACCAAGATGATGTAAAAACCATTTGTAGGCTTCATTCCCAGTTGTATTCTGTTTGGGATTTTATCAAAACTTTTAATTTCATACAGAGCACCCACTCTGATCCACTGTGCGAAAAAAACCCATCATAGTTAAATAACTTCACAGAAATCCATTCTAATCTTATCATGGAATTGCTGGAGTGGGAGAGGCCTCTGGGCATCCTGCAGTCCATGACCCCACTCAGAACAGTCAGCTCCAGCAGGTTGCTCAGACATGTGCACAGTCATGCTCTGTGTAGCTCCAAGGATGGACTCCACAGCCTTTCTGGACAGCCTGTTCCAGTGTTTGTGCAGAACCTGCCAATGGTTGGGTATACATTGGGTAGGAGCTAATTGACATTTGAATTTTAAAATAATTTAATGAAAGATTAATGTTTCTTTGAGCTTTTGATCCTCATTTCTGTTATTCTTTGTTCATTTTGTGTGAAGACTCTTTTGGGATAGTACCTTTTTATGCTGCACCTGTTACATTGCAGACAGCACTAATTCAGAATCCAGAAAATTTTGTAATGTTTTTTTAATTATAATGGGGTTTTTTAATATTATTTTCATGCTGTTTAAGAAAGAAAAAAACAAACCAAGAGGATTCTTTAAATCTGTATCTCCTTCCAAACAGAATATACTTGCAGCATCAGGTAGCTTTGTCCTGAAACCAACTGTCCATCTGGCCCTTCTTGCCATAATTGTTTTTAGGTTTGATTTTGTTCACTTCATTGTACTCATACAGATCTGGACAGGCTTCTGATATCTTCCCTGAATTTTCTAGAGTTCAGCCAGCTTTCTTTTCCCCATCAGAGGCTTAAGTGTCTTTTACCATGAGGTGTTGCCTTCCAAAATTTTTGAAGATACTGTATGTGTCACCTCTACACCCACTGTCTCCATGTGTGAATCCTTGACAGAACTAGGTCAGATCAGGGAAATGTCTTTCTGCTCATTGGCTTCAGTGTGCTGCACACGACTTCAACACAGTCAGAAACTACTGCACCGTGTTTCCTCTTAGTTGGATCAACTAATGTTTCCCATTCTGTTCTGGGTAGCTGTGTAGGCCTGGCTAAGGAAGGACTTCACTTTCTTCATTTTTTATTCTTCAAAGGAGAAAAAAATCAGAAGTAATACATAGTACTAAGAAAAAATAGGGATATTAATTTTTTTCCATGTGAGAGATTGATTTCTTCTGTCTGTTTGTATGGGTTACAGCAATCTGCCTTTCCAAAGAATGCTTACCTTTGCTCAGTGTTCTGTTGGTTCACATGTGTCAGTCTTGTCCCTGCCTGGATTGTGTTCGAGGAGCCTGAGACTAAATTCAGCACCTTGACTTTAAACATCATAATCAATTAAACTGCTCTGCATTTACAGGGCTAAAAGTGAACCCAGACCCCAGCTCTATTTTAAGGCGCCTTTCACTGAGTGATTCAAGTGTGTGATCTAGCTACTAATGCCTGAACCAGAAGGCACATAAATGCTGTGTGTATAAACTGCCGAAACCAGTTCTAATAACAGTATCCAAAGTGCTGGCAGCTGCTACCTGCTAACATTGAGTCTTCTCTACATGATGAAACTGGAGTCCTTTATGTGTTAAATACATCACAGAGTTAGCTGAAGTGTCACAAATCAATTGCTGCCAGTGGCATATATTTAGTACTTGGGCTAAGCACTTTTAATAAGACAAGAGTTTCTTACATTTCGGCTGTGTGAGTACTTTCCCTGACATTGAGGAAGAGGTGCTTACATTTGCAGGATGTGCTAGACAGAATGGTAATAGATGATTTCTTAACTTTTTTTTTTGTAATGAAATGTTTGTCAAATATAAGTTTATATGCATGAGCCTATAACTCTTTTTTTGGTTTTAACTGATTGAATTTGTGAAGAATGTTGATGGGAAAGGATGCTGTGGATTTGAGAAGAACTTTGATGATGGTTTTTAATGGCTGTTTTCTTTGGAAAATTTAATTTCTGTGGTTTTTGTTGTAAAGGAAAATACACCTGAAATAGAACTGTGGTCTAGAAAAGTTCTCTGGCTAGAAAGTTTTGGAGCTTGTGTGAAAAAATAGAATTTTTAAGAGAAAGAAAGAGAATGTAAAAAGACTTTTTAGAATCTAAAACTTTAGCAAGTGGTGTTTTCCAGTAAAGCTTACGTCTCTCTTTGTTGTTGTGATTGGATTGTTCAGGAACACAAATGCAGCTTTTCTGATCTGCTTGTAATTCATCATGAGGCTCCTCTTCTATAAACCATTCCGTAAGCACTTATTACATGGGGAATACTTACTGCATATGTTCCCAGAATGACCTTACTCTTTATTGATGTATTTATTTCTCTTGGGGGCTTTGTAACAAAAATAAGTCAGGGAATGGGAAATCAAGCTTTTTTGCATATCTTCACTGATTGCTGGAGAGACTGATGCTACCCATCCTATTAAAAGGAATGTCAACTGATTGAAATTAAAGGAAAAAAAGTAGCAGTGACTGTGAAAAGTTGAGGCTTTGCAGTTTGTGCTCGGTTAGTGATGGAAATTATTCTCTTGAGAAATGCTGTTCAGCAGCCCTGATGGATGAGACTGGTTAAGAGGATATGCTTAGCAGTCTGGGAATGTTGCCTGTCTTGCTGTGGGTCCATTAGACAGTGAATCTATAAAACTAGATTATTGTCATTTGAAAATAGTACATTTTAATGGCTGATCTATTGTGAATAAATCTTGGCTAGCCTCTGATGTAACTCTGTGCAGTTAAGACTTACTTGACTTTGTTGGAATTGACTGATAAACTCTAAAAACAGCAATTTGGGAAACTGAAGAAATTACAACTATTAAGAGATTGTCTCTGCTACTCAAACTATTTGAACCAATATTTTGGATTTATTAATGGTAACTAGAGCTGTTCAAGGCTCAACTTGAGCCTCTTCTCCTGCTTGTTGGTGCTGATAGCCACGCAAGGGATCCTGGAGAGTTTTCACATGCCCTTAGTTATCCTCCTCTCACTGGCTTTTCCAATATCTGTTGAAGCAGTGGTAGCAGCTGGCATAGCTCCTACCTCTGGCTGTGGGATTGGCCCTGTCTCTTGAGAGGGACTACAGAACAAGGAAAAAGGGGAAGCAATGGTGGCTACTTTCCATACTTACCAAGCTAAAACTAAAACTGTTGTCATGATATTTTTTTTCAATATTGCCTTTCTCTGATTCTAATTGGAAGGATTTTCTTGCTTTCTCTTTTTGTGTGTTTTCATGGCAGATTCTGTCTTGCATTCTGTTCCAGTGATCCTGTTTTGATAATTTCTCTTCTCCTCAGAGTCATAAATAATGAAGGCACTTGCTCTTTTGTGTTTGGATTTCTGTTGGAAGAATTTGCTGTTGTTTATGACAGGAGTGGCAAAGCCTATTTAGTTCACTTCTTGATTGTAGGGAGGCTTTAACCAGTGCTGCCCTATCACAAGTACACAATGATACCTGAGCAATGTTTGTGATTTCTTTAGATATTGTTTGGATTGTTTTGGATGAGGATTGGTATCCTGTTTGGATAAGGATTGGTAACAGGAGTTGAATCTTCCTGTTGACGTGCAAAGCTTTAGAATTCAACAGTACCCTGCAACGCTGAATTTTAGAGATTAAATCTAGTTGTATACAATAATTACTTATATTGAACAATTACTGTGTGTTGCATGCATTGCTTTCAATTTCATTAGGTGATTATTCTGTGGTTGTGAATGAGGGCCCACAATTGATTTTTTTCTGTTGCTTTATAAATCTTTCTTTCAAGTACTCTGCTATTTCACTAAGTAGGGTTTTGCAGCGCTGTTAAATAAGCATGCTGCAGCACAGGCTTACATTCATTTACCTTGGAAGTGCTTTGCCCCTGGTTTATTGTGGAGGAGATTTTCTCTGTGCTGCGTGGGTTTTGAACATAGCAAGGTTTATATTGACTGGTTTCTATTTGATAAACAAACTATGACAAGCATAATAGTTAAATGTGTAAACAGAACAAGATGCTCAGATTTTGAAAAGCCTGTTAAAGAGCAACTGAAGATTTCTATTTACAAAACAACTACTCCACTTGGCATAAAAATGCTTTCTGTCAACATGATGGACTAGAGGATCAAGTCTACCATCAGTCAGTTTGCAGACACACTGATTTGAGCGGGAGTGTTGATCTTCTGGAGGCTCTGCAGAGGAGTCTGGAGAGGCTGGATCAATGGGCCAAGGCCAAAGGTATGAAGTTCTCTAAGGCAAAGTGCTGGATCCTGCCCTTGGGTCAC